TATATATATATATATATATATATGCACACAGTAGGTATGCATGTGGTGCCCAAATTGAGTAGACTTATTTAAGTAAGAACTTTATAGTATTTTTATTGTTTATTATTTTATTCTCCTTGCTTGGCACAGACAATCAGTACATGCCAGCAGAAGTGAAATTGAATTGGATTTGTAAAGTTTAGACATTGATTAGCAGCTTTAACATTACATGAGTGGCTAATTAATTTTATAAACCAAACTGTCCTTTTAATTATCAAGCCAAAAACTCCAAAATAAATTCAACTTTTACTTTTTAAACCTTTTTAGCAGATATTTCTCTCAAAATAAGCCCCCATTAGTCTTAAATTCATTAAATTTTTTTAAAAATAAATATTTTATGCAGAAAAGTAAATAATTTTTTTATTGAATTCATCTTAAAATAAATTCAGTAATTTAATTTGATATTATTAATTTGGACAACCTAATCAAATTCTTGACGTTTGGAATATAGAAATTTAATACAAAATAAAGATTATATTCCTATCTTATTTTTATTTAGAATAAAAATTTTAATTTGATGATTTTATTTTGAAAATTTTATAATATATTGTTAAATTCATGCATATGTATCATATAATCTTAAAATAAAATTAATAATTTTACAATATACAATTAAGGGCAGACTCATATGCGTACATCAGAGAGGTTATTCAGAGGGTATTGAGAGGTTATATCTGCGTTATACCCCTTGTAACATATCTGTACTTTCTAGTAAGTTCTGCACTTATGTTTTCATATATTTGTAGGTTATATTTAGGTTACAGGGAGGTTAAAGAGTGTATAACACGGATATAACGCCCAATACCCTCTGAGTAACCTCACTGACGTACGTAGTGTTGAAGGTTTTTTGTCTAAATTGGTCTTTTCTCTCCTAAAATATCAATTTTACCTTATAAAATATCATTTTATTCTTTATTGTTCTACCCCTTCCTATATTGGGTCCATAAGATCAGTTTACCTCCTAAGAAAAGGAGAACATTTCGTCCACGCACCACACTTCCGGACGACCAACTACTGAGGCCACTTCATCATATGCATCATCGACATACATGTGGCCGGTGATCGTTGGCCGTCCGTTCATACAGACTTCATCCGGAAGAAATATTTTTTATAAGGAGAGCATAACCACTTTTTTATATACAAAATTTGCTTTTGTTGCAGCCCGCGATACCTCCGACAACATCTTCTCCTCCGCCAAGAAGCTATGGCAGAACCGCTGGGCATTCCGGCGACTAACTGCACTAATGACCGTCAGCTTCGGCGTCGGCATGGTCTACTACGGCATGCCTCTCAACCTCGGTAACCTCAGCTCCAATCTCTACCTCAGCGTGGCTCTCAACGCCCTCACCGAACTCCCTTCCTCCCTCTTCGTCTTCTGCCTCATATCGCGCATGAACCGCCGCAGCTCCACCCTCGCCTTCACCGCCGCCAGCGGACTATTCAGCATCGCCTGCGCGGCGATGGGCGGCGGAGGGGGGTGGGCCGAAATGGCGACCGAGCTCGCGGCTTTCTTTTCGGCGTGCACGGCGTTCAGCTTCGTGCTGATAAGCAGCATCGAGCTTTTTCCGACGTGCGTGAGGAACTCGGCGATAGCGATGGTGAGGCAGGCGTTGGTGGTGGGAGGGGTGGTGGCGCCGGTGGTGGTGGCGGAGGGGAGGAGGAGGAGGGTGATGTCATTTGGGGTGTTTGGTTTGGTGATTGGGTGTTGTGGGATGTTTGCGGTGTGCTTGCCGGAGACCAGGGGGAGGGGGATGACTGATACAATGGAGGAGGAGGAGTTTAAGGATGGAGGTGGTTAATTAGTTTTTTTTAATTATTATTTCAATTGCAATTGGGATTGTAGACTGTCATTTTCTAGCATTGATTTCAAATCTATGTTTTTTTCATTAATTCTTGCATTAATTAATGTTGTCTGTTTGAGTTTTTCGTTTTTTGATTGGGGTACTTACATAAAGGTGTAAACGAGCTGAACGCGAGCGAGTCTAGGCCCAGCTCGTGTTTGGCATATTTATATTTCGAGATTTTTCTGTCAGAATTTGGTGAGTCATTTTAATTTCTGTATATTCAAGAATAGACTGCATCGATCTCGAGGTAATTTAATAAGTATGTCAGCTCACTTCAATCGACCAGCCAAATTCTACTATCTCACTTCAATCGGCCGACAAACATGAACTTGAAAGTTTACATCGATCTCGAGATGAACCAATAGTCGAAATAAAAATAACTAAAATGTTTTTCGCTTCTCTCTTCAAAACATGACTAAATAAACAATTTTTGTATATTTTCTACCTCCTCATATCTTCTATAAATATGAGAGTTTTATGATGTAAAAGAGATCCTTCCAGAGGAGGAAGAGGGATCTCAATTGTAACATATCTTTAATAGAATAAAATGAGTCACAGAGCCCAGGAGCACTCCATTTTCCCCTGCTCGGGAAGTGTTTCTCTTCTCTCTTCTTTTTTCGCTCTTTCACGTTCCATCTCTCGGTCCAACGCTCTATTCCTTGAGCGTAGTCTACCAAACATATTAGATTCAACAATTTCAAAATTATTAAATATGATTTAAGAACTTAAATATGTTTTATGAAAATAAATATATAATTAATCAATCGAATGGAAAATAATTTCACCCAATATTAAAAATATAATATCACAACTATAAAATTTTTCAGAGTTGAATTTAAATTAATTCAAATCAATAAAGATAAATATATATATATATATATATATAGATTGATGAGTAATATTTTTTAAAAATTAAATTAGCTATAAGACTACAAAGATTTATAATCAATTAAAAGTATTAATTAAGAAAATAGAATAAAAATTATTAAATTAAATTCTAATGATGTTTTAATATAAACAATAATTTCTAAATCTTGCTCCAACCCTTAACATCTTATCGCTACATGATTAGGGTTGCCAAAATGACTCTTTGTTCGTAAACAGCTTGTGTTCGGTGTTCGGCTTATTAAGCAAACGAGCCGAACACAAACACACTTTTTGAGCTCGAAATATAAGTGAGCCGAACAAGAGCTGAGCTTGGGCTCGCTTGTGTTCGGCTTATTTACACCTCTAGTTATAGTGAACAGTAACTGATTTAAATGAAATCAACGGTGAAAAAGACCATCTTGTTGGTTGAAGTAGCCATCCCATTGAATGAAGTCATTGAATTGGCCAGGACAATCTCAACGACTTGATGGAACGAAGCCATCTATCATGAATGAAAGCTCAAGACCAACTTCTAAGTTTAATTGAGTACACATTAATTAAATTTGTCTTGCCATGTGTATGTTACGATGAGGTCACTATGATCTTGTGAGTTTGAAAGCATACTGATGAGTTCATGATAGCTCTGACGAGTTCATATTAGTCCTAATGAAGCCGTTCAACTTAGCTTAGACCTAGTTTTTCAAGATATTTAAATGGACAGATAGCGATTTTGCATCCTATTGGGATGGTATTGACGTTAATATAGGCATGCAAATATTCTACCTTTCGACGCTAATTAGCGTTGGCCAAGTTGGACGCCAATTAGCAATGACAAGATTAGATGCTAAAGTGTTGGAACAACATATTAACATCAGAATATTCTAATGTTAATCTGACGCAACCCTGTAACAGACAAAAAAAAAAACACTACAAAATCATTGGATTTTCACATACATGTGCAGAACAAACACAAGAAAAATAATAGGACATTTATCTATCATCAGAAGTAATAAAATAAATCTCCAACATATCTAAATAGTGAAACCAAATGAAATTAAAGATAAACGGATCAAAGTGTTCAAAGTTCACTACTATAGAAATTAAATGTTCGATTAAACAGAAATGGAAAAAATATATAATCAGCCCCTATAGCGGTGGAACATTAACAAACACATAATCAAAATCCTAATCATGCTCCTCATCCTCATCCAGCTCCTCCTCCATCTCACACTACTCCACAACACTCATATTTTGCTTGCCTAAGTGATCATAAACTCTCTGTCAAGCATGCTAAATTATTTGTAATAATTTGTTGTCATTTACGCACTTGTTTATGCTCTTCATTCATCATCATGACTCGCCTGACAAGCTCCTCATGTTAAGTCTATGACGAGCTAGAGCCACCCATAGCTGTACGAGAGGACTCAACCTCAAATGTTATGCCCTTTGCTTCTAGGCCGTACATTCTCCCTTTTTTCTTCCCCATCACTTGCATTCACAACTTAAATTTTCACTGAGCAGCGGTAGACTGGCTACCATTATTGTTGGCGGACAATGAGGTATGGCTAGTCACTTCCATCTATCTCTCCCAGAGCTGGTCATACTTCTCCTGCATAACAATTTTTTTTTCTAAAATCACACGAATAGCCCTCTAAAAAACATCATTAAATCTATTTTTTGAGTATTGTTTATGAGTTGTATATATATATATATATATATATATATATATAGACA